GCTTGCTCTTTGTAGAGTAAGTTGTCCACAAAAAGTAGCCACTTGTAGTAAGCACCCAGGTTGCTGGGGTTCAGGGCCTCACTCAAGGACCCACAGACATGCTAAGGCTGGGTTTGAACTGGCGACCTTCTGATTACAGGTACACAGGCTTAGCCCACTGAGCCACACACTGCCCCTTACCTTTGATCTGTAGGAAAATGTCCCCGGCTAAAGTGAGCTGGGACGTCCATTGACTCGTCACTCTTCATGGAAACACAGCTATTTTCAGGTGAGTCTACGCTCTCCATCAGTACACTGTGGACAACAAAAGGAAGTAAACCTTTCAGGGACCCTCATCTTCTTATTGTTGATATACCTGCCATAATATGCAGTCTGTCACATTAAACTAGCTGATATTTGCATTTCAGGGCTTTTTGTGCTTCTGCCTTACATTCATGTACTTTGACAATAAATATAACTCTTGATATAAACAAGCTGAGTTACATTTCGTTTTACCCCCTCTCAAAATTATGTTCATTTACTTACAGCCCAAAAACAGAAAACAAATACAATTTTTGTCACAGTGAGTGCTCTTCCAATGAAGAAAATGAAATATGGTTCTTCACATCACCTCAAATTTCCACAGGAGTGCGATCGAGAGCTTGCTGACAGGCTGTATTACAGTTTGGTACGGGAGTTGCTCTGCCAATCACTACAGAGAGTGGTTAAGGCAGCAAAGTACATCACAGGCATGAGTCTCCCTGCTATTCAGGACATTTATCCGCAGCGGTGCCTCCGTAAAGCACACAGCATCATTAAGGACCACAGCCATCCAGCACGACAGCTGTTCTCCTTGTTACCATCCAGCAGACGATACAGGAGTCTGTCTGCTCGGACTACAAGACTAAAAAATAGTTTTTACCATCAAGCCATTCGACACCTGAACTTCAACACTTGCACACACACACACCACACTTCACTGGATGCACACAGGAACTGTCCTATACAATACAGACTCAGGTAGACTTTGCACTTCATTTTTATTTTTATTACTATAAAAAATAAAAGTAAAAAACTCTTACTATGTGCAATATTGTTACTTGACTGCCACCTTAAATCATTGACAATTGCACTGCTGCCCACTCTTGTCACTTTACTTCTCTGTAATATATTGCTGAGAGACTTGTTTATTCTCGTCAATCACATTTCATTGCAATGTTGACCCTGTGCTAACTTGCATATGACAAATAAACTAAACTGAACTGAACTATGAGTAAACCTTTCAGGTAACATCATCCTATTATTGTTGATAAAAATGACATTATATGGGCACCATCTCATGAAATACATTGAAATTTGCAGTACTTCTGTCCTGAATTCACACACTTTGATAATAAATGTCACTCATCATATAAATAGTGTGATGTGACAGCTTTCTGCAAAACTGTCAAGCACCACCAGGAGGTGAGCAGTATCACACAGTCCAAACATATTTTCCTCAGTGTCACCTTAAGGTGTGATAAATGGACATGGCTGGCAACCCAGTAATTCCCCAATCAGGGGGCACGCGGGTCCTCCTCTGTGAGGTTTAAAGCTCACAGAGGAGAAGGAGGAGGAGGAGAAGGCTAATAACACCGAGCAGTTCAAGACAATCTCTCTCCTTAGTGTTGAGTGCAAGACCTTCTTCAAGATCGTTGCCAATTGCCTCATGGGATTTCTCCTGAAGAACACCCAGGCATCCCAGGGTGTATTGAGCACACAGGGGTGGTGACTCAACTGATCCGAGGCACACGGGAGAGCAAGGGGAACCTGGCAATGCTGTGGCTTGACCTTGCCAATGCTTATGGATCAATACCACACAAGCTGGTGGAGTTGGCCCTGACCAGATACCACGTCCCAGAGAAGATACGGAATCTCATCCTTGATTATTATAACAACTCTAGTCTGAGGGTGTCCTCCTGGACCTCAACATCGGAGTGGCATCATCTAGAGAAGGGCATCATCACCGGCTGCACAATCTCCATGTCCCTGTTTGCATTTGCCATGAATATGCTCGTGAAGTCAGCAGAAGTTGAGTGCAGAGGTCCATTGTCCAGATCTAACACCTGACAACTGCCAATTAGAGCAAATATGGATGATCTCACTGTAACTACAACATCAGCACCCAGATGCAGGTGGCTTCTCCAAGGTCTTGAACGGCTCATTACATGGGCAAGAATGAGCTTCAAGTTCAAGAAGTCTAGGTCCTTAGTCTTGAGGAAAGGAAAAATGATTGCCCGGTTCTGCTTCACCCTGGGAGACACTCAGATTCCATCAGTGTCAGAAAAACCAGTGAAGAGCCTGGAGAAGCTCTTCACTAGCAATCCGAGGGACACCGCTGCACGCCAAGGTACCAGCGATGACCTTGACACGTGGCTCTCGGCTGTGGACAAGTCTGGGCTTCCTGGAAAGCTTAAGGCCTGCTTCTACCAACATGACATCCTGCCTCGTCTCCTCTGGCTACTGCTAGTCTATGAAGTCCCGATCACCACTGTGAAGCTTTGAGAGGAAGATTAGTCAGTTCCTATGCAGGTAGCTGGGCCTGCCACGGACATAAGCAGCATTACACTCTTCGGGCATAACACCAAGCTGCAGCTTCCTTTGAGCAGTCTGGCAGAGTAATTCAAGGTCACCTGAGCCAGAGAAGTCCTGCTCTACAGAGATTCCACCGACACCAAGGTCTCCTCAGCAGGTGCAGAGGTCAGAACAGGACAGAAGTGGCACGCCCAGGATGCAGTGGATCATGCGGTGGCAAGGTTGCGACACAGCATCTTGGTGGTCACAATGGCTACTGGGCGGGCCGGGCTGGGTAGCAATCCAAAACCTAGCTACAGTAAAGAAAGCAGAAAGTAGAAGCAGAAACTGATCCAGGAGAAGGTACGTGCCGAGGTGTAGGAAGCTCGCTCCAGCAGAATGGTGGGCATGTCCAAACAGGGGGCCTGGACCAAGTGGGAGCATACAGCTGGCCGTAAGATCACCTGGGCAGAACTCTGGAAGGTGGAGCCACACCACTTCAAGTTCTTAGTCCAGTCAGTGTATGACTTCCTCCCGCGCCCTGCCAACCTGTTCACCTGGGGCCTGGAGGACTCACCTGCTTGTCAACTCAGCCAGAAAAGGGGATCTTTAGAACACATCCTCAGCTGCTGCTCAAAGGCCTTGGGAGATGGTCGGTATTATTGGCACCACAACCAGGTTCTGCGGATAGTAGCAGACACCATGTGCACTGGCATCAACAACAGCAAGCGGCAACACCCCTCTAAGTGTACCATCACCTTCGTTCAAGCAGGCGAGAAGCCCCAGCCTCCAAAGATGACCCAGGGGGGCCTGCTTGCTACTGCAAGGGACTGGCAACTACTGGTTGACCTGGGGAGACAGTTGAGATTCCCGAACACAGGGTTCCCCCTGGAGTTTGATTTCAATTCTTCACTTTTCTTTGTATTTTTGCTTCTACTAATCAAATTCTTCACTTTTTTTCAGCATCCGTTTTTTTTTTGTCACTGTCTCGCCGCTTCTTAATAAATTAATCAAATGTACATCCGGGTACAAAGCATGGGGAATCCCGTCTTCCATATTTGGAACAAGCCACACTGTGATTGTTCAACTAACGGCATGGGCGAGTCACGAGTCTACTTGATAAGGTTGGGAGAATCGTGAATACTGTGTAAAAATTTGCGTGCAGAAAACATGATGTATAGTACGCATTTCGGAAATAATGTTCTAATTACTATATATATAAGGTAAGCTAATACTTTCCCGGTGTTTCATAGTACCTTTGAGAGGGACATTCTAAAACGCTTAATGTGAAAACGCTTAATGTGGTTTAATGTACATTAAGCGTTTTAGAATGTCCCCACACCGATCGATAACATTTGCTACTTTTAGAACGGCCCATGCTCATTTGACATGGATGATCGACAATCGTGTGTCCGGGGCGCCGGGCCAGTTTTGATTAGGACCTACGGGTGCTACGGTTGAAAATTGGGAAAAAATGAAATTCGACTTTTCAAAAATTCAAAATTCGTCATTTGAAAATTGAATTCGCCAGAGTGACGATTTGATGCCGTTTTTCTTCGTCACCATGGGTTTCGTTTTCGTCAATGACGAGAGTGACGAGCGGCAGCGGGAACCCTGCGAACATCATTGCAGTAACAACACTCTGGACAGACATGGTCTTGATGTCCGGGGCAAGCATGCAGGTGGTGCTACTGGAGCTAACTGTCCCCTGGGAAGAGCAGATGGAGGAAGCTCAAGAACGGAAGAAGGCCAAGTACGTTGACCTGGTGGCAGAGTGTCGGAGGAATGGGTGGAAGGCCATTGAAGTGGGTTGCATGGGCTTCGCAGGCCAGTCTCTACATTGGGTCCTAGGACTACTAGGGATCTGTGGACTGCACAGGCGAACAGCCATGAAGAACATCATGGAAGCTGTTGAAAAGGTTTCACATTGGCCCTTGGGGGGGACGTGTGGTGTAGTGCGTTACCTGGACACAAGTCGGGGCCTGATCACCCCTGGCTGGGTCACCCGGGTGAGGTTGTCTGATGTAAGACCCAAAACACCCCGTGACCTCAGTTACATCACTGAAGATGTGTCCAGGTTGCAACGCAAGGTGTATATCAGTACATAATAATAATATATTTAACCCCAAAGATTGCACATGTTGCCTCAGAAAATTGCACTCCCTATATTGCACGTAAGAAACTACCATGGTGTGTTGGATGTGTGTGTTTGTTAGTCTGTGTGTGTGGTCAAGGACTTTGTTGTAGAGTCTGACAGCAGCTGGAAGGAAAGACCTCCTGAATCTCTCCTTCCCACATCGTGGATGCAGGAGCCTGCCACTGAAGGAGCTGCTCAGTGCCGTCAGTCTCCTGCATGGGGTGAGAGACGTTATCTGATGCCACTACAGAGTCATAAAAGGTCTTCAGGAGTGGCCCCTGCACTCCAAAAGACCTAAGCCTCCGCAGCAGGTACAGCCTGCTCTGCCCTTTTTTGTAGAATGCATGTGTTATGAGTCCAGTCCAGTTTATTGTTCAGATGGACACCAAGATACCTGTAGCTCTACACAGCCTCAATTTCCATACCCTGGATGTTCAGTGGTTGCAGTGGAGGATGTTTGTGCCTGTGGAAGTCTGCCACCAGCTCCTTGGTTTTTCCAGTGTTGATCTGGAGGTAGTTCTCCTGGCACCAGTCCACAAAGTCCCAGGTCAGTTCTCTATACTCCTTGTCGTCCCCTTCAGTGGTAAGGCAGACTATTGCAGAGTCATCAGAGGACTTTTGCAAG